GAGGGGGCGGCGGCCCGCGTGGTCGGCGCCGGCGCGGCGGAGGTCGAGGCGGGCAGCAGCACGAGCGGGGGGATCCGGGCGGAGAAGTAGGTCTTGTTGCGGAGGTCGGAGTTACAGCGCGGGCCCTGGCAGCAGGAGCCGCTGAGGGTGAACCCCGGGCCCGTCACCCCATCCCGCGTGCACTCCTCGTCCTGCACGCAGCCCCGCACCGGCAGAGACACCGTCACATTCGCTGCAGGAGGGGACACGGGAAGGTCGGTTTGTTGATAGCCGAAGAGCGAAGAACCCCATCCCCCAAACTGGTCCTGACTCTGAAGCCGTGCCATTCCAGAATCCTCCACAGGTGGGGACCCCTGTTTCCCACATAGTGCAGTGAGAGCAGCCAGAACTACAAGGGCTCGACTGGGACTGGACCCCGCTCCCCCCGACTCCAAAGATCCCAGCGAAGCCCCAGGACCAACCAGCAGCCCCGTTCAAATTTAAAATCAGAACCACAGCTGAGGATCGAGGTTCAAAGCCAACCTGGGTATAAGACAGTCTGTGGGACTCAATCCTCCATTAACCAACAAAAAGCCAGAAGTGGCGCTGTGGCTCAAGGGGTAGAGCGCCAGCCTTGAGCACAAAGAGGCTCAGAGACAGCGCCCAGGCCCTGACTTCAAGTCCCAGGACCGGCCCAAGAAAAAGGAAGAAAAGAAAAAGAACGACACGTCCCAGCTCCCCGCGGGGGTCAGGACACCGGGCCTAGAATTTGATCTTGCTTCCAGGGATAGAAGCTGAGAAGCTGCATTTCCCAAGATGCTCCAGGACAAGACCGGCCCCCGGGCCCCAGCACCGTCCTCGGCGGCGTCGGATGTGGGGCGGATCGGATCCTCCCTGTGAGCCCCCAGCCCCGCCCCTGCGTGCAGGATGCCCCGCCCCTGCGTGCAGGATGCCCCGCCCCTGCGTGCAGGATGCCCCGCCCCTGCGTGCAGGATGCCCCGCGCCCCTGCGTGCAGGATGCCCCGCCCCTGCGTGCAGGATGCCCCGCCCCTGCGTGCAGGATGCCCCGCCCCTGCGTGCAGGATGCCCCGCCCCTGGAGGGCAGCTCCGGGCCGCTCACCTGCCGTCAAGGTGACGTTGCCGTCGAAGCAGCCCGTGTAGGCGCGGTCGCTGGCGTTGTAGCAGCTCACGACGGGGGGCGCCGAGCCCCGGCACTGCTCCCGGCTGAGCCCCACGCAGCTGTAGCACTCGACCCCGTTGGGCTCGTAGGCGCTCTCGTTGCCTGCCGGGGGACGGCGTCAGGAAAAGATCGACAGGTAATCCCAGCTCTTCAGGAAGCTGAGATCTGAGGATCCCGGGTTCGAAACCAGCTCAGGATTAACCAGCAAAAATCCAGACGCGGAACTTGGGTGGCCCAGGTTTGGGAGAGCTCCATCCTCGAGCGGAAAAGCTCAGGAACTCAGCCCAGGACCTGAATTCAAACCCCGCCCCCGGACTTTCCCCTCCCCCTCAAAAGTGCCAGGAACGTTGAACCCGTCCACGGGGCGTGGTTAAGTGTGGTGGCCCCGCCCCCACAGCCACCCGGATGCGAACCTGCAGGGGTTAGCCCGCGAGAGGTGAGGTTGAGCTTGGCGTTGCATCGGTCCTGGGCACACTGCTGCAGCTGGATGAAGGCCAGGAGCCCGTGAAGGTCCAGTCCGCGGTCATTCTTGCCGGGGAGTCCCGAACCGCAGCCCCTCACTGCCACTGAGAACTGCCCGTGAACTGCCAAGAGGGAGGGGCGGGGTTCGTGGCTGGGGCGTGGCCACTGGGATCCGGCACTGGGGGCGTGGCCACGGGATGAGTTTTGGGTGTGGTCTTTGGAGGAGGAGCCGGTGGGCGGGGCCACCTCGGGGCGGGGCCTTCACACCCAATCCCTGAAGGAGACAGGGGCCTTGGGGGCTTGGGGTGGGGTGGAGGGGGCATCTCAGAGCCGAGAGCAATGGGGAGCGTGAGGCACAGGCAAACAGACAGAACAGGACAGAGGGCTGGGGATGTGGCTTAGTGGAAGAGTGCTCGCCAAGCATGCATGAAGCCCTGGGTTCGATTCCTCAGTACCACATATACAGAAAAAGCCAAAAGTGGTGCTGTGGCTCAAATGGTAGAGCTCAGGGATGTGAGGATCACGGTTCAAAGCCAGCCTGGACAGGAAAAGGCATGAGACTCCTATCTCCAATAAACCACTCAGAAAACCAGAAGTGGCACTGTGGCTCAAGTGGTAGAGCATTCTCCTTGGGCTGAAGAGCTGAGAGAGCGCCCAGGCCCAGAGTTCAAGCCCCAGGACTGGCCAGAAAAGAAAAAAGAATCAAAAGGAGAGAGCTAAAAGTAGACCTGGGACCAACCCAGAGAAAACTACCAAGAAACTGACCAAAAGAAGGTGCTGAAAGTTGAGTGCTTATTAATCTTGGCTCCTTAGGAAGCTGGTTTGAAGCCCGTAAAAAAGTGCAAGAGACCTTTATCTGTGGCTCGGTCATAAAGACAGGCAAGAGCTGGAGGTCCTGAGTTCAAACCCTAGTACCAGTACAAAACAAAAGCAGGTACAGGGTCACCGGTGGGGGGGGGGAGGGAGTGGCTTTAGCCACTCGGGAGGAACAGGGGAGGGACTACATGGAGACCCAGCCTCAGCCCCACTGGCTAGCAGATCTGGTTGGTGGCCCCCCAAAAGACATCTGTGGGTGTCAGAGGTGGAGCGAGAATGGATCAGGTGTACCTCATTTCACACCATGTTCCCAGCTGTCACCCAACCGAAGCCCCCCCCAAAGGAAGGGTGTGGGTCGGCTGGGCTGGGGGAGTGGGAGGGGTTCACTCACTGGTCTCCACCGCCCCCACGGCCTCGGTGCAGACTTCCACGCCGGGCGGGCACTTCACCGCCTTCATCCTGTGCGGCGCGCAGCCGTCGTCGGCCTTCTGCACGCAGCTGTAGCACTCCAGCGCCTGGGCTCCTGGGGGGGGGGGGTCCCAGGCCAAGCAGCAGTGAGTTCAAAGCCACCCCCACCCAGGGAGACACAGGGAGACATGCCCTCCCACAAACCTGGGGGCTCTCTGGACGGTGTGCCAGCTCAGGTATGCCTGTGGGAATTGCGGGGGGGGGGGTTTCTGCCATCAAGGGACCCCTCCCTAATCATAACTGCTCAGGATGGAGGAGGCAGAGGGTGCTTCCCATAGCTCCCCCTAAACAGAACCGGGGGCGCCCCTCCACGGTCCCCTGGAGTCCTTTGCTCCAGATGTGAGGGCTCTGCTCCCCAGTCCCCAGAATCCCCACGTCTCTGTGTAGGAAGTGGGGATACCCCAGCCATAGGAGCCCTCCCCCGCCCAAATCAGGCCACAGACGCACCTTGGTGGAGCAGCAGCAGCAGCAGCAGCAGCAGCAGCGGCCGCCGGCCTGCGCCTCGGGTGGCAGCCGGGACCTGCGCCTTCCTGGCGGGGAGCATGGCTGCGTCCTTCCTCCTCGGCGTCCCCCCTGGGTGTGCCACCTCGCAGCCGGGGCCCTCTTACCTGAACCCCGGATGAGTAACCTCCCCCCGGGGCAACCTTAGCCTTGCCCAACCGGGCGAAGTCAGCGTCCGCCGTGGGTGCGGGCCTGCGCCCGCCCCGCGTGCGTCACCCCCGGGCACCGCGGCCCCTGTGCGGGTGCCAAGGAGAGAAAGGGCGGGAGGCCACTCTCTTGAAAGTCTCTTGGAATTCCCCCCCCTCGGAGGAGAAAGTCTGTGTGGGTGTGAGGAGCCCCAAAGAGAGGCAGGGGCTCCCCACCGATCACCATGCACCAGCCACTGGGGGCCCAGGGACCCCAGTAACTGCCAATGAAGGAACCAGGGGACAGATCCGAGCCAAGCAACCATGCCAGCGCAGTCTCCAGGGACAAGGGCGATGGGGGGCGGCGGAGCTGGGGACCCAGAGGAGGGTGCAGTGGACACTGGGGGAGGAGACCCAAGCTGGGACCTCAGGTTTGTTCCAGAAGGAGCTGGAGGCCGGCAGGGCGCTGCACTCAGGCTATAAGCTCCAGAGCAGGGAGCTCTGGGGGCCCCAGAGAAGAAGGGGGAACCTGGACAGAAGAGTCAGGCAAGCACAAGCCCTGAGGAGAGACAGGGATCAACTCTGAGAAAGATGGGGGAGCCGGCACTAGTGGCTCAGGCCTGTCATCCTAGCTACTCAAGAAGCTGAGATCTGAGGATCATGGTTCAAAGCCAGCCTCGGCAGGAAAGTCAAAGCCGGAAGTGGCGCTGTGGCTCAAGTGGTAGAGCGCTAGCTAGCCTTGAGCTGAAGAGCTTAGGGACAGTACCCAGACCCAGAGTTCAAGCCTCACAGGGGAAAAAATGATGGGGGACCTTTGACAGGGTCAGAGTCAACTGAGGGCATGAACAGGCTTGCTTTGTGGGTGCTTTGGTTTGTTTTTGTGCCCCTATAAGGGCTTGAACTCAAAACCAGGTGGATACTGTCCCTTAGCTTTTTCACTCAAGACTGGCACTCTACCATTTGAGCCACAGCTCCATTTCTAGATTTTTGGTGGTTAATTAGTGATGAGTCTCATGGCCTTTCCTGTCCCAGCTGGCTTTGAATAGTGATCCTCAGATCTCAGCCTCCTGAGTAGCTAGAATGACAATGTGAACCCCAGAGCCTGCTTTAAAATAGGGATTGTTTTTCTTTTCGTTTTTTGTCAGGGCCTGGACACTGTCATCTGAGCTCTTTTACTTAAGATTCATACTCTACCACTTTGAGCCACAGCTTCACTTCCAGTTTTCTGGAGATAAGAGTCGCACCGATTTTGCTTCCCTGGGCTGGCTTTGAGCCGTTGAATCCTCAGATCTCAGCTTCCTGAGTAGCTAGGATTACAGGTGTGAGCCACCAGCGCCCAGCTAAAATAGGAATTAATAGTATATACCCAATCAGGCTGCCTGTGGAAATGAACTGAAGCCCCTGTGGAGCACCAGATACTCCTTTTTTTTTATTTTGTTTTGTTTGGTCATGGTTTTGAACTCTGGGCCTGAGCGCTGTCCCTCAGCTCCTTAGCTCAAGGCCAGGGCTCTACCACTTGAGCCACAGCGCCACTTCCGGTTTTCAGCACTAGATATTTTTTTTTTTTTGGGTCCAGTTGTGGGGCCTGAACTCTGGGCCTGGGCACTGTCCCTCAGCTCTTCAGCTCAAGGCTAGCACTCTACCACTTGAGCCACAGCGCCACTTCCGGCTTTTTTCTTTTTGCTTATGTGGTGCTGAGGAATCGAACCCAGGGCCTCGAGCATGCAAGGCAAGTGCTCTACCACTGAGCCACCTTCCCAGCCCAGCACTAGATATTTCTAAGTGCTCTAAAAGTATATTTTTGGTTTAAAGAGACTGCTATTACTATGATTATGAATTAGTGATTGATCATCTTGAGCTCCTGCTCTGTGCCAGACAGGATGCTGGCCTTTGGACAAACAACCTAGTCTTCAATTCCCATTGCAGGAGTGGAGAAAGTACCCATTTCTCAGAGGAGGAAAACTGAGACCCCAGGGAGGGAGACATTAGTTCAAGTTGTTCATACAGCGAGGGAAGTGGTGGTCAGCTCCCGCTGGCTGGCTCCGTGTCTGAAGGCAGAAAATAGCGGGCTATGTTCATAAAGGTATCTACACCCCAGACTCAGGCATCTGGGTTCCCAACTATGACAAACACCTCAGTCACCTAGGTGGGGTCACCTGTCATGCAGCGAAGGCTGGACAGCGAAAGTGAATGACTTCTTATAAAGTCATCCTGTCTCCCAGCCTGATTCCGGTTCACTGTGTGACCCTGCAGAAGTGTCTTCTTTCTGACACTCCAAAGTGTACATTATTATCCTCATCATCTTCATTTTGAGATGAAGTGTCACTGTGTAGTCCAGGCTAGCCTCTACCTCTCAATCCTCCTGCCTCAGCCTCCTAAGCACTGGCTTTAGGACCCATTTATATTGAAGTTAGGGGCTGTCTTTCCTGGTAAAAGGGGAGACTGGCTGGAATTGGACAAATTGGTCAATCGTGCCTCAGCGTCCTTCTTGCTGTGCGACCCCAACCAGCTGCATTGCCCTCTCTGAATTGCAGCTTCTTCTTTGCTCAAATGGCTCTAAACCCCTCCCCACCATGCCAGTGAGTGGCAGGCAGAGTGATACCCTGGCCTTGTCTGGGGAGCAGGAGGCCCCACCGAGCCTCCTCTGCAGCCGGCGTGAGAGTTTCAGGGAGGAACCCTAACTGGCCAGACCGGAAGAACTAGCCAAGTGTTCTGGGCCGGAGGGAGGGGCCCAGGGTGGAGAGGCTCGTGCTGGGGCCTGCCTGGATGCTGGGGCCTGACCTGCACCTGGCCCCGGACCAAAAGAACACAGCCAGTTTGTATTTATGAAGTATTTATTAATTTTTACCCGGCTAGGATGGGACGCAGCGCTCACAGCTCTGTCACTCTACCCCAGCCTCCACGAAGGTTTGGAGGCCACTGGGCTCCAGCCCCCAGCCTCCGCTAGCTCTTCCTGCTCCCTCCTGCCAAGTTCACTGCAAAGATTCTGGAAGAGAGTAGCCCAATAGAAGTGGCAGTGGTGCACAGAGCCAGGACAGGATGCCAAGGGGGTGAGAGCCTGTCCCGGGGCACTGACAGGCAGCAGGAGGTAGGCCCACTGGTGACCTGGGGTTCTAATCCCACCACCACACTCCACTAACAAAACACACACTCAAAGACAAAGTGATGAAGAAGCCAGGCACCAGTGGCTCATACCTGTCATCCTAGCTACCCAGGAGGCTGAGATCAGAGGATCACAGTACAAAGCCAGCCCAGGCAGAAAAGTCCCCATGAGACTCTTTATTTGCAATGAACCACTCAAAAACCACAAGTGGCACTGCGGCTCCACATGGTAGAATGCTAGCCTTGAGAAAAAATAGGTCAAGGACAGCACCCAAGGATAAAGAATTTGTTCAGATGGATAGCCAGGCAGTGTTACAGGCCCATAATCCTAGCTCCTTGGGAGGCTGAGATGGGGAGGGCTGTGGTTGGAGGCCAGATGTGAGGAACCACGTAAGCAAGATAAAAGGCTGAACACGTTGGTGTGTGCCTGTCATCCTAAGCTGCTTGGGAAGTATAAATAGGAGGATCACTATGCAGGTTAGGTCGGCCTAGGGCACAAAACAAGACCTTATTTTAAAAGGTAAAAGAAAAAAGGGATGGGGTTATGGCTTAAGTGGTAGAACATAAAATCCTGAGTTCAAATCCAAGTATCAAGGGCTCAAGAATAATGGAAATCAGCCCCAGTGTAGGTGTTCAGGGCAGTGAAAGCTGTTGAGAGACTAAAGGCAGAAGTAGAAGGAGAAACCTAGAGAAAGTAGGAGACTCAGGGGATCCTGGGAAAGGAACCATCACACACGGGGCGTGTGCAGCACTTGAGCTGGGTGGAGTGTGAGGCTCCTAAACAGAGCTGACACCGGCCCTTAGGGGGCGTAGGGACCCAGTTCCCTCTCTCCTTAATGGACTGGGCTCTGCCCTGCAGTGCAGAGGTCATGAGAACAGCCAGGCCCCCAGCCCCGAGGGGCGGGGACCCATCCTCCCAAGCCAGGGCGCCAAGGGACGGGAAACCTCCCAGGCTGTCAGGACAGCCAGTGTGGTTAAGGCACACCTGTAACCCCAGCCCTGGGGAGAGGTGGAGGCAGGGAGACCCGGGGTGTGAGGCCAGCTGGGGAGCGGGAGGAGGCCGGGGATGAGGACCTGGGGAGTCCAGCCGGAGGAAGGAGGTGGGAGGTGCAAACCCCCAAACCACGAGAGGTTACCGGAGGCCCCTCCTCCAGCCATGACCCTAGGGGTTAAAGGTCAGCATTGCTGATCCCCCACCCCCACCCCGCACCCCTGCACGCAGGACCCACGTGGAAACCTCAGGGTTTGTTGGGTTTTTTTCCTCACGTTTAATTCGGTATCACAGAAGCACCAATAAATAGTCGCATCCGCTCCCCGCGAGCTCCCCCGGCCCCGGGCGGGGGAACGCCACCGGCCGCCGCGACCTCCGCGGCTCAGGCCCGCTGAGCCGCGTCGCGAGAGTTCCGAACGGGTGGGACCAGGCTTTTCCGGAAATGGGCGTGGCCCGGCCGCCTATAGGCACGAGCGGAAGGGGGCCGGCTCTCAAGGGACGTCGTGGGGGCGTGGTCAAGGCTCAGGGGGCGTGGTTCTCGTCTGCAGCTGTCACAATGACGTCCATCCAGATGCGCATAGCTTCCGGGCTCGGGGCCACCATGTAGAAAAGGCGTTCGTAGGTTTTGACGCAGAACGTCAGGCGGGGGCTGGGGCTCTGCAAGTAGGAAAGGGGGGTTAGGGAGACAGGCGCTGCTCCCCCCTCCATTCCCCCCACCCCCTTCCCCAGCCTGCACTCCAACCCCTCCCATGCCTCTTGCTGGCTGGGTAGCTTTGGTCAAGTTACTCAAGTTCCTGGTCTGGGTTTTTTCCATTTGTCTTGCTAAAGAGTGTTCAAGCCACAGCCTGACAGTCAGCCCTGTAATCCTTAGCAATTCAGGAGCCTAAGATCTGAAGAGCAAGCTTGGTCAGGAAAGTCTGTCTTATCTCCAATTAACCCAGAAAAAAAGGTGGAAGTGGAGCTGTGACTAGAGGGGGAGCACCAGCCTTAAGCAAGAAAAAGCTCATGGAAGTGTCCAGGCCTGGAGTTCAAGCCCCGTTAATGGCACTAAATAAATAACAAAGAGTGCTAGTTACCTCACTGGTTAAGAGGATTACAGAAAAAAATGTAAAAAAGAAACGTTTATGTAAAATGACATCACTACACCAGGAACCAAAGGAGTTTTAAAAGGACCAACCATATAAGCCCTTTACCCAGCCTTATTACACTAGAAATACAGACATTTAAATTCCATCTCCTGAGGTGGTAGATAATGGCTCATGCCTGTAATCCTAGCTACTCAGGAGGCTCCGATCTGAGGATTGCAGTTCAAAGCCAGCCCAAGGCAAGGAAAGTGTGTGAAACTCTTTAACTCCAATTAACCACCAGATAACCGGAAGTGAAGCTGTGGCTTAACATGGTAGAGCACTAGCCTTGAGCAGAAAAACTCAAGGATGGTGCCCTGGCTCTGAGTTCAAGCTCCACAACCCACAAAAATAAAAAGTAATAAATTCCCTCATTCCCTCCCCCCCAAAAAATAATCTAGCCTCCTCCTGGTTAGCAACTGAGAAATGTTAGTGTCTAAAATCCATTTAACTGAGCCACCTACTGGCCAACCCCAACCTGTAGGTATCATCTATGTCTATATTTTAGCCCAGAGTGCGTCCAAGTTTGCTCATTTCACAGATAAGAAAACTAAGGCTGGCAAAATCAGTCTTCTGGCATCACACAGCTGGGATTGCAAGTGAAGCTTTAGAAAGCCTTGTGTTGGGTCCTCTCCACAGAGCACCCCACAGATTACATCAGTTGCCAACACTGAACCTTTTACCCTGGCACTTTTACAGGCAGAGGGGAGGGAAACAACTGGGGGGCTGGGCTCTGTGCCACACGCCTGTAATCCCAGCTACTCTGGAGCTCGGAGGAGCCACAGATAGGGTTGGGGGCACTCCACCTTGAAGGCACAGCGTAAGTGGTCATAGTAGACTTCTTCAATGGCCTGGAAGTAGATGACACCTTTGAGCTTGGTCTCCTCCTTGTCTGATGGAGGGAGAGAAGAAACAGGTGGTGGAGGTGCGAATGGGTGGTGGGGTGGGACTGCACTGGGGGAGGGAGGAAGGGGAGGGGTCTGGAGTCCCAAGGCTGGAGGGTGAATTCCTATTCAAGCTAGGTGGGTGCAGGTGTCCAGATTGCACCCATAAGGGTGGTCTTGGAGGGAGCTGAGGGGGGACCCTGGAGAAGAGCAGGATGGAGCCGGGGCCCCAATTCCCAAATCCTGGGGTGGGACGGGGGTGAGTATGGTTCTGGCGTGTGGAGCCCTGAGGTTGGAAGGCTGGGGCCCGGGTTCCCCGGGGTGCCAGCCAGAGGTGAGGCCTGGAGCCCGGACCCCGCAGCCAGCGGGGCTTACCTGCGTAGTAGGCCAGGCGGCGGGCCTGGCGGTCGAAGCAGAACCACCGCTTCCTCCAGGTCTTGATGCGGCCCCCCATCTTCACCAGAGGTCCACGGCAGCAGCCCCCGGACACCCTCACGTGGGGACAGCTTTCGGGGTTGTGACCCCAGCGTTCCAGGTGCTGCCGGAGGTCCAGGACACGAGGCCCAGAGGGGCGTGGTGGGGGCGTGGGTGGGGCCTGCAGAGAGTGGAGACGTGGTAGCTACTGGGGAGCCAGGAAACGGGGTTCCTAAAGCTTGGAGACCTGGCCAACAGGCCATGATGCCTAATTATTTTTTTTTAATTATTATTTTTTTTTTTGCCAGTCCTAGGGCTTGAACTCAGGGCCTGAGCACTGTCCCTGAGCTTCTTTTGTTCAGGGCTAGCACTCTACCACTTGAGCCACAGCACCACTTCCAGTCTTTTCTGTGTATGTGGTACTGAGGAATCGAACCCAGGGCTTCACACATGCTAAGCATGCACTCTACCACTGAGCCACATTCCCAGCCCCATGATGCCTAGATTTTTATTCCTTAAGATTGGGTTTGGGGGGCTGGGAAGATGGCTCAGTGGTAGAGTGCTTGCCTTGCATGCCTGAGGCCCTGGGTTCGATTCCTCAGCACCACATAAGCAAAAAAGAAAGAAGCCGGAAGTGGTGCTGTGGCTCAAGTGGTAGAGTGCTAGCCTTGAGCTGAAGAGCTGAGGGACAGCGCCCAGGCC